AGATCACCAAATGTTCCCATACAGACAAAATAAATACAAAACACAAACGCCAGCTCAGGAGCATGGGACAGAGATTCAAACTCTGAATCTAACTCACCTGCAACTCTGCTGGAAGTCTGCTCAAAAAGTGGCAGAGAAGATGGAAAAGCTTTCCCATCTGCATAAGTAGCAGCAGCCCTGTGCACTGGCAATCGGTGAGGCTTGGCTGGATGACAGGGCACCTGACGGCAGAGTGGTGTCAGGTAGCTCCGGGGCATTCACAGTGGACTTGTGATGGGAGAGCACAACAGCAGTGGGGTCTGGCGTCCCATCAGGGATCAGTGGTGCAAATCAGCAGTGGCAATAGAGATGCTCCACAGTCACCAAAATGCTATCCTTGTTGCTTAGGCACAGCTATTTGCCCCAGCAAATCCCTTTATATTCCGTTATTCAAGCTGCAGGCAAATACATTATTTTTTTTTACTTCAAATTCAATCTTTAGGACAGACTGTCCACGCTGTTATTTGCAAGCGATTAGATATAACCATTAACGATAACCCATCTGCGTCAGTTGCTGTAGACACCACATAGGTGTGAGCACATTCGCAAACTGGTGCTGCATTTTTTCCAATAAAGACACAAAACAGCAAGCTGCAGGCTGGGTGAATAATGGAGACGTATCCTCTCACTCTTCACACCATAGCAATATCTTGTCTCAGTGCAGAAGTCCTCCATCACACCAGACAACATTAGTGACAGAGGTGGTTGATATATGTTTTTTGCAGCAGTTGCAGCCAGATAACAAGACTAACAGCTCTCTGGACGTGACGTCACTGTTATGTGTCAAATCGCAGCTGATGTAAAGGATGCTTTCAAAGCCATATTTTAAATGAGATATCATGAGTGCGGATTAAATCTGATTTGATAAATAAAATATATATTCGGATGTCTCAGTGTGCCAAAAGTCTGATATGGGCTGCCAACAACCTAAAATGCCCTTGTACGTTTTCCTTAAGGCTCAAGCTCATGATTTAGCTCACATACAGTAGAACATCAATTACCGTTATCTGTTTCAGATTATTATTCCTTATCAATTTAACCATTACCAGTTGTTGTTTTAAGCGAAATCATGTCATATTGTGTTGTGGTATCCCATTGTTTTAATATCTGATATGTAGACATCATTCATCCTACTAGATGTTGGTGCGTGCTTATATTATGTTATTTTGAACAACTCAATTGGAGGATGAGAGGGAGAGAAGGTGTAGTGCTTATGAAGTCTTTTCTTATGGACATTACATCAATAGCTCTGTTAATTAACAATGAGTGCCCTCAGCTTACATAACAACCTCAAATACAAGGACATCAAAAGGCTTTTAGTGTACCTTTTCTCCTTGCTGTTCCTAAGAGCGCCAAAATAATGTCCTTCTGTTATGAAATTTTTTCATCACAAAATTCAGAACAACCCCCCCCACACACACACACAGTTGGATGGCAAGCATACTTTCCATAAGTTACCAAAAGTTTTTTATTAAAGTGAAATATTTGTTAAACAAAATGTAATGGCTGTGAGACACAGCATTTTTTCTTTCACCTGTGAAGAAGATAATCAATTTTCGATCTTCTGTAAACTACAGGTCTAACAAGTGAGCAAACTTGTAACAAGGTGATGTGATATGTGTGATAACAAGCGGCAGATTTGTTCATTCAATGTTGACGTACTGACTCAGACATTATGTGTCTGTGAGGCTACAGGCAGGAAATAAAGGCACATTCAGTGTAGGTGTACAATGTGCTGTTTTTTCAAATGCATTATGTTAAAAGCACTAAAGCAACACAGTGTCAACTCTAAGGTGATGGGGTGGTTGAGGCAAACTGCAATTTTTTTCTATTTTTATTATTATTCTTTATTTGCCATTGTATAATGAAGGGTAAACCATGTGTACAGTAATGAATCAAGGAAACAACTACATTATTGTCTAATTAGTAGCTTCTCTTTGTGGCTTTTTGGCATATCAGTGTATCAGAGAAAATATTCTCCTGTAACCATGTGTGGCTTGAAATTATTCTGAGGCAGTAGGTTGTATATAATATTTCTGGCAGTCCGACAGAAAAACACAGGCTCCAAAGGGCTACAGGAGCTCTAGGTAGGCAGCGGATGATTGCTGTTTATTACTACGTTAAAATGTGTCTCAGTTGCCTTGTAAAGACAGAATCCTGCTGTTTCTTTCCATCTGCGTTGGGATTGTAATATTAGGCGTATGAATGAGGCCATTTTAGCCCAAACTAAATGGGGTTATGAATTCAGATGTCATCATAAATGTCCCCTCTTTCATTCTCAGCCCCGTAGCTTCTTACTCCTACCACAATGCCCAAACAATCCCACTCTCCCGCCTCCAGTCTCCCAGAATCTAATCCTTCTGCTTGTCCCCTCCAGCCAAAGCGCCGTCCGTGTCTGCCTGACCAACTCCCCACTCCTGCTCAGCCTCCCCTTCCATCCTTCCGTCTTGCCGCATCCCTGCAGCCCCCAAGGCCTGGCAAAGGATTTGTGCTCTGACTAAAAGGAGAATCTATTTCCCATCTCTGCAGCCGTAGCTAGTTATCATACCCAGGAAACATGCTGACTCTCTGGAGTGATGCCTTAAGGAGAAGTTTAAGCAAGAATCCATATTTAAACAACTAAATGCCCCCTCAAATTCAAATAGTCTTGGAGCCTCAGCGACCTCCAATCATATTTTAAGAATGCACCATTGAAATATATAATTTGTTTGGTCCAGTCTGGTATTGAAACATCACAGTAACAATAGTAGAATAACTCACTATTGTCTGGTGTGATGGAGCAGTTCTCTATAGAGACTTCTTCAATAAGTATGGTCTATCTTCGCACTTTGTGCTGCAGTATTTTCAGAATTTGAATTAGAACAATCAGTGTAATGATAAACAGTGTGTCCTTACTTTGTATTTTCAGCTCAGCACACAGCTTATAAGTACATGCACCAATCAAAGAGCATGTTTAATAGAAAGAAAACAAATGTCATATTTTTATCCCCCGAAACCTCTCGTCGCCTTCTTGTTCTCATTTGTGCACCGAGCATACAAATCACAAACAAAGACACAAAAAGCCATTGTTTGATTATGTTTCAAGAATCTTTAATTTTTTTTTCATTGAAAATGTAGATCAAGTTAAATGTTACAGATAAACCAAATGTCCAACTTTCTATACTTACCATATAACTATACTTACTGTATACTATGATTGATTGATGTAGTGATGTGGTAACACTGCTGGGAGAAAGAAAATGATGCACCACAGAACTCAAATAATCATTATTTAGATGAAAGACCGGGGATGCTTTTGTGCAGTGAGTAAAATATGATGGGATGAGATGATGGGGAGAAGAACAGGTTTTCTGGAATCATTTTGAAGCCCACTAAAGGTATTAAGAACACAGTGTTGATAGCACTTACCTCAGGTCTAAAAGCATTTCTCAATATCTGGTGTGTTGGTACTAAAAGGCTGATGGTTCGAATGATTTCTAGCATGGATTTGTTTGCCAGAAAAGTGGTCGAATGGTAGAAAGCACAGAACCGTGGTATTGATCGGGGCTGACTCGTGCAGCAGAAGCAGGCCTGTTCTGCTGTATCAGTGCTTTCCTGACTTTTACGAGAGGTGCTCGTGTGTGGGGGGATGGGGGAAGAGTGCGATTGCATGTGCGCTGTAAGGAGTCATCTTTCTGTTGTGGATCGCTGGTAAGTAGCCATTAGTAAACTGATCTTTGGAAGAGGAAATTTAATGGTCTCCTAACTGTATTTACAAGCCATTCAATTTGATAAAGGGTGTGATCTTGAATGATTTATTATATGCCGCTCTGCTCCTCTTCAAGCTATCAAATTTAAGTTTCCATCAGTATTTTCATTCATTCATTTATTCCTTCATCAAATCTCATCAGTATATAACAGTGAAAGGAGATCCAATAATATATTCTAATGCTGGCAAACTATATTTCCAAAGCTCTGTTTTGTCCTTTTGTTAGGCTTATTTAGATCTTCTTGGGATTTCTATTTAGTTAAACTACGGAAATATTGTCTAGCTTTCCACTCAGTTAAACATCAAAAGCTGTGCAAAAGGGAAATATTAAAATATGGAGATAGGAAGTAGCTCACTGGGGCTACTGATTAGTTTACCAATCATTGTCATCAGAATTAATTTGGCAGTGGCAGATTTAGAAAATGAACTTTTTGTCTGACTCATACTAATATTTTTCACATTCTTAATCTTTGTGACACTTGCTTATAATGTTTGCTTTCGCATCTGTACAATGAGTATTATTGTGAAAACGACTGACAACAACGCACATGGCACTTGCATTGTTATTTTTTCTGTACATGTTGTATGCCACCTCCATCTGGAGCTCTTGATAAGATGGACAGCAAGTAACATAAATTCTTAACATTCTCTACCTTGGTTCTGTACCTGGTATTTTATTAGCTGGGGTGTACAGAGTTTAACACAATATTGCATTCATCCAAACACAGGTTTATGTGTAGTACATGCTTTTGTTCATTATGCGCTGCACTGAATTAGATTTAAAACATTCAAGATATAGGACAGTATCATAAGGTGTATTTAAACACATGCCCCATATTTAGATATTTAAATGTTGTGGTATTATGGGATATTTTAATAGTTTATGTGTTTTGGACTCCATTCAATTTTTTCTGCTCTCTCTTATTATTGAAGTCCATAACCTTACTCTGTTCATGTATTTCTACCTTATATAATCTTTAGAATAATAATAAGACTATTTAATATTTAAGAGTGTTTAATATTTAACACTGTTTTCTGACTTTTGAAGAGTGAACTTTATAAGGCCAGCAAAATTCAGACGGTGGTCTTAAATGGTAGTGGAAAAAAATGGAGTATTGAGCTGTAGATGTTGCCATACAACCTGCTGGCCATCTCAATGAACTAAAAAGTTGAAAGCTGAAGATCTTCGTTTTGTTGTCTCTCTTCTTTTTAGCATCCCCATCGGCGAGTGACCTTCTCCACCGCCAACCCTGTGCAGGACCTGCAGGATGCCTCTCAGCACAGCTACTATGACAGCGGCTTGGAGGAATCAGAGACTCCCAGCAGCAAGTCATCGTCTGGTCCTCGCATCGGACCCCTGACCCTGCCTGAGGACCACTATGAGAGAACCACTCCAGATGGCAGCATTGGAGAGACCGAGCACCCTGAAAATGGTACGGTGACAATCCCCTCCGTTCTGTCGTGTTCTCTATGAATATGTATTTAAATGTAAATGACTCTAATAGGCTCTCTTTGTGTGTGTGGTGGTGTTGTCGGCGATGGAGACATTTGTGGGAGATTTGTTTGTGCTCTGTGGCCATTTTAGAGTGGAAATGTTGTGGCACCCGCGACGTTAACTTGCTGTGTTTGTCGATGACTGTGTGAAATGTTATTGGTTTTTAAGCAGATCTGTGCGTGTGTAGGTGTGTGTGTGGGCTGGATTTAGCAGTCTCCATCCACCTCATCAGCAGGTCCTCTGTCAGACATCCTTAATGACCCTCTCTCACAAGTGTGCTAATTAAAAAGCCCAACTAATGGAGCATTTGCCCTCTAAATAAATCTGAACCATGACATCTGTGCAGACAACACTGTGTTTACTCTAAGCATTTCCTTGCCGCTAGCTGGACCCAAGTTTCACTGCAGCTTAGGTCTGCAGGAGCCATAATTTCTAGGCACAGTAATCAATCCACAGCCTGAGCACTGATGGCCTCAGCATAGGTCCATATTAAAAAAAAAAAAGTCATAGCCAAAGCTGTGACTGCGTATCATAATAACAATTTTGCTGCCTTAAGCTGCCAACCATAATCCATTACCTGTCTTGTAAGACACTATGATAAGTGATTCACATGGTGCATTTCCAGTCATTATAGTATTTTGCATTGCACCGCTCTCTGGATTAAACACTTTTACATGCTGATAGTTCACATCTACAACATCTCGCCCTTCTCCTTATATTTGTATATCATTAGGTTGTTGCATTAATGTATTGCGTTATCTCCAAAGCATGCATGTTTCTGGGTAAAGCATTAAGGCGTACAAAATGTGGCATGTGTCAGCAAGGGCTTGATAGGGTTGTTGATCAGCATTGACACTCTGTCACACTGTCAGTGCAAAAAGACACAGATGTACCTTTTGTCAATGGGACTGTAAATATAAGTGCAGAGATATTACTGGCTTTTTTTATGTGAGGAAGAAAAAAAGGTGCACTTCTTTGCAAAACGTTGCAGGATCAAATGCTAAAATGTGTCACCATCACGCCAAAACAGCAGGTTTCTATTATTAGTATAGTATCTTAGCGTTGTCATGCATTGAATCTTTACAAGACAGTTGTGTTGGATCTCATTAGTGAATGCATTCATCTCTACTGCAAATGTTTATTGTTTATTTTTGTTTAATGTCACTTAGTGACACCATAATTCGAGGATAGGATGGGGTGGTGAGTGTGCAGGGATAAGTCCTACCAATATTGCAGTTTCCTCTGGCTCCATAGAGGTCAGAGATTATTTATCCATTTATTAGATAGATTCAGTCACCTCATTTACAGGTGAGCTGTTTATAGCCCAGCAGCCAACACTTGACTATTTCCATTTGCTCTCTGCACTTAGGATGTGTTATATATGCATTTTCTTTTCCCTTTTTTCTATTGTTGTGGCTCTTTATTGTGTTTTTACCGTCTGCAGACAACAGGTTTTGTCAGACAGGGCGCTCTTTGTTGTCGGCAGCAGGAGAGCAAGATTGTGAGTGGAGATGGAGCAGTTAAAGAATGAAAAGATGGCACAAGATGGGGGAGATGTTAGATTGTGACAGGGAGCGGGGACTAAGAGTCTCTGACAAGGAAGCAAAGCCCATAGGATGAGCACATAGGACAGGGAGATGCGAAGATGAACTGCTAACCAAGGATAGACCTAATTAAAATGTGATTCCCCCTTCAGGGAGATAACAAAGAGCCCACATAAAGTGAAGCATTAGACAGAAAAATCAAACGAGACAGAGGAATTCCTCCCCAGCTCCACCTGAATAGTGACGTGAAGTCTTTTTTTTTAAGCGTCTGAGTGACAGAGTGACAGGTTGTACTGGTGCAGAGCTTTATTCATTGCAGTAGAAATGACTGACAGGCAAAAAATTGGGAGGTGAGCATGATGTGTCACTCCATTTAAGTTGGATAAAACACAATATATGAACCCCAGACTGTCAGCCTTTGCATCACTGGCCCCCTGGAAATATCGACATGGATGTGTGTTTTGTTATACATGTTGAACTTTGACAATGGCAAATCTACATTTTGAGGGAGTGTCAGTGGCCTACAGTGGAGCGTGATGTAGTACATGATCCATTTTAGAACCACATTTGGCTGTTTGTTGAAATTATGCAATCAGTCAGACCTTTACTACATTGGACTGGTAGTAGGTCAACTTCTGGAGCCTAAGCGTGATAGGCATTAATTATTAGTCATTGGCTGATTTGTATTAGTTGCTGAATTTTGTGCTAAATGTTGTTCTTTTGAAGAGTGTTGCAGACTGAAGTAATATGACCTTGGTTTATTGGACTGGGTGGCAGAGAGGAAAGAGTATGTGGTCTGTAACGGTCTCAGTGGTTCACTGAAGCAGACATCAACATATTCCCTGATGGTGCTTGGCTTTGGAACCAAGAGTAGATTCAAACTACAGTAATAAAATTTCTGATATCTATCATGTACGCTGCCTGATCTGCAGCAATTAATTTCTGGAGTTCTTTTTTTTTCGTATGTCTGAGCAGCTGCTCCCTCCTCCCACTTTTTTTCTAATTCTTGTCTTCAGGCTGTGTAGAGTGCACTCCATTTCAGTTTCCCCATGTGTATTTTCCACTTGTATGTTCACGCGTGTAGCGCGCACGTTGCTCAACTGTTGGTTAATTGCATCAGAAATGTTTATTCATTGAATGCACATGCGTGCGAATGTGTGTGTGTATGTACATGCACCTGCATGCATGCATGCATGTATTTGTTTGCATTGGAGGGTGTTGCATCACACCCCAGATCTCTAAATCATTTTGATTACAGTGCTATTTTACTTTAATAGACTCTCATCATAATCACTGAGCTCTTTAATTCTCTCTAAATTGATTGCTTTAGACAGCATGAAAACTGCTTATCTTGTATGTCTGGTTGCTGTCAAGATGCATGATTTGTCCTGCACAGTGAAATCAGAGAAAGACCAAGGACTGGTCTCCGTCTGTCCCATCTGTCCACCCACTGTATCTCAGACACTGCTGATCAGGTTTTGCTTAGTGCACAAATAAAAATGATTTACAGTATTTATTACTGATTGGTTCACAGGGTGAATGCATCATTTTTGGGGTTTGCTTTAATGTGCATTTCAAGTCCCCATAGTAGGACAGTATGTATCAGATTGTATGAAATTTCAGAAACACAGGATGACATCAGTCAATTCTAATTATTTTCCTTGTTTTGACTTGACTCTGATCTTTTAACATAATTTCTCAATTTACTCCATCAATTATATTTCAAAACAGTTTGTAATCTACATCAACAAGCAATTGAATGTATTTTGAGCCCCAGCATGCACCTGGAGTCACATAACACATAACACTTAACTTTCTGTTACCTAAGAACCCAGGACATGAGTCATCCTAGAACCCATGATAGGCCTCTTCCCTCTTCTTGGGACAAGTTTGACTGACAATCCTGTCATGTCCAGTCCAACCTAGACAATAATCACTCTTCCGCGGATCAGTGATTAGGCATCTTGGCTGTGATATGAGGGCTAGCACTGATAGGACACAGGTGGATTGAAGACAGGTACCAGTGGGCCACACACACACACACACACACACACACACACACACAAACTCAATTGACCACAGATGGAGGAATTTTGATGTGGCCGGTTGCCCAGCGTGAGGTCTCCCTGTGTCTTCCCTCTGTGCGGACTCACTGCCATATGGGCTATTGAGAAGGGTGAGATAAAATGGAATAAATGGCATTTGCATGATAATGAGGTTCTTTAGTGATGCTGTCTGATTTTCCTGCCTTAGATCTCTCAGATGATGCATGTAGCGTTGTATATTTGTTCTTTTTGAACTCCTGTCAGGGATTTTCCTCTGCTTTCAATGTTTGCCATATCAGTATCATACAGGGTACCACCGCTTTAGCCATTGCTGTTTTTAACATTGTGAGTTCCCTGTGAATATCTGGTTTGTGTGTTCAAAGCATGAGGAATGTTTTCTGCAAAGAAAGATGTGGAGGAAGACGTTGTGCAGACAGAGAGGCAGAACATCAGCCTAATGGGGCTTGTTTGTTCGATGAGTGCCAGCTTGGGCCCCTGCCCGGGTGCTAGTATAGCTTGCAGATGCAGGGGTGTGGGTTTCCTCAGACAGATGTCATTGTGCCTTGTCAGAATCCCTGCCTGTTAGTAGTATTGAGTGGAGTATAGACCATGCCAGCCTGTACCAGCACACTGGCCTATGCCAGCCACTGCTGGAACTGCCACCACCCGAGAAGGGACAGGTCATGGGGCTGGCAGTTTTGTGGAAGCTTCTGTTGAAAAAAAGTCCTTACAAGTGGTCCCTCGAGGCAAGTTGTCATGAGTAATACACTTATAATCCCTAGCTCATTCTAGCACACGCATTATGCTCTGCTCACATCAGCTGCCGCTGTTTGTTACCCCCCAATTGTCTGTAATTTTATTTTGGAGCAAATAGGTCACTGGAAGTGCATAACTGGAGCAGAATTAAACTCTCTAACCTGGATTAGGCTTTTACACTGTAGACAATGGTTAACTATAGCCCTTTTACAAATGACTTTACGGGACAATGCAGCTGAATCCAAAATGGAACTGATGAGGTGTCACACATCACAGTTTTGAATGTGTCTAGATTTCCCTTCGCCCAATTTGAATCTAAAAAATGTGCTTTCGCTCATGTGGTCACTAACAATGAGACCTACACACTCATCCCGAACTTTGGCCGCACACATTATAGCGTTTGTCAAATGATTGCAGACAGGCCAGCCCTTTGAACAGGGTGAGAGGAAGGACATGTATCACAACTCAGACCATTAACTATATGGAATTGGCTTATTTTCTTTCAGAGTGAACTGACATATTATTGTGTGGCAGAGATTGCAGCCACATATGAAATCTAGATGGAACCAGAATAGAAGGCCCATTATCCCAAT